AAGAAGAGTAGTGTCTCTCTTGCTTGGTTTGCATATGGCATGTTGATTGTAGGTGGGCGGTGTTTTCATGATTCCTTTCCACCAAAAGGATCCAACCATCCTGTCCCCTGGTAGGCAGTCTTGGTAGTATGCTTCCCAAATGATTTTTACCCATGGAATGTTTTTGCTGCAAAATTATACATTAATGTAAGACGTTTTTGCTGCAAAACTACATTAGTGTACAGAGGTATTACATAATTCATTGTAGGTGTTGTTTCGCAAACACACCAACATTGAGTAGCTCTTAGATTCGAGGTTTCTGAGACAAACTGACACTGGACAGCAGGTAACTGACATTTGTTTTGCATGACAAGTTTCATGCATAAGAACAAAGCCAGAAACTACACAGACATTGTTCTCACGAATTGACAACGGACACTGCATAAAGTTTGCAGCCAGCCAGTGAATTAATATATAAAATGTTGTAATGGTATTAGTTGCAAATCTGGTGACGCAGCAGCAACCCGATGCTCGATCGGTGGAGGGCGCGCTCTACTCGGGACATCCTTCACGCGATCTGTTGAGGCGTGCGCAACCGGCGGGCCCAATCGGTCGCACGCACGGGCGGGGCGGATCACAGCGCGGGCGGGTGATCAATCAGATTGTACGTGAGATCGTGGATGTCGCTTCGTGGGGGCGGGGTGGTGGCGGAGTCCGAGCTAAAACCGGCGACGCCAGTCGTCGTGCGACGACGTGCAGATGAGCGCGTCAGCACCGTCGCCAGGGCGGCCAACGCAGCGGCGCCCGGGCGGCCAGCCTCGAGCGGCGAAGGCAACGCCGTGTGGAGGCGGCAGTACATACGCGACAGAGGCAAGGTGGTGATGCAGGCGGCGATGGCCGGTGCAGGGCGACAAGCAGGCCGACGCGCGGACGACGGCAGGCCGTGATGGGCCGCCTCGGCGCACGTGGTCGCCGGGTCGGAGGAGAGGCCGGGCGGGCGCGCCGGTGTCGATGTAGAGGCAAGTATGGGTCAACAGCGGCGGCGCGCGATGCAAACCGATCTTAGATAGGAAAACCAAAAAATAAACGCCGGCCAAAGCGACCGGCGAGAGAGGGAAAAACTCAAACCAAAGGATCGGGGAAAAGACTCTCTAGGGCAGCCGGTCAACACGACTGGCGGATGAACCCTAGGTACGAATGGCACGGACCCTGATGACGGTCATGGAGGCTGACCGCGCGTCCCGATGGCGGCACGCGGGGCGAAAGCGGTGGGAGGCGGCTAGGGTTTGAATCGATTAGGCTGATACCATGTTACAACAGATAGAGAGGGATTGATGTACCCGCAAAAAAAGAGAGAGGGATTGATGAAATTGTTGATGGATTATTGAGTCTCGAGGGCGAGTATATATTGAGTGCAAGACTTGAAGAGCAAGACACCTCTCCTAGAGATAAGATAGGAGACAGATTACAAATCCTACATTATCAAATACATATAACTGAAATATATCTCTAGCAAGCCACCCCTGACGTAGATGGCACGTCGATCGGGATGCAATTCTATTGGCTCTTTCAGGAAATACATATAACGGCATCTCCTCCGAGGCGACCCGGGGGTAAGCCTAGCCGCCACAGCCGCGCTCCCTCCTCCCCCTCCTTCCTCTTCGCCGTCGCCTGAGGTGTGCTCCGGCGCGCGCGTTCGACACCGATGAAGGTGGCGGCGGGGATTCGACGGCTGCTCGTCTCGGGCAGGGTCTCGGCACGCGGGGCGGCGGCCTCGGCAGGTGAGGGTGGGGTGGCCCTGGCGGCGGGCCGCCTTGCCGGTGCGAGCTAGGCGCCCCCTCGGTCTCGCGGGTGACGAGGTGGCGGCGGTCGGCAGTCGCTGGTGTGCATCCCTCCCCGCGGGTATGCCACTGATGAAGCCCATCCCCTCCACCCTGATCTGCTCCTTCCTTTGCCAGATCTGGGTCCTGGTGGCTTAGGCCGCTGCTCCCGGTTGCTGGCTGCGCGGATCTCGTCGGGTGGGGTTGGATCCGGGGGAAACCCCTGGCCGGCGCGGCGGTCACACCAAAGGCGACGCCTTGGGCACCGTTCCCTTCCTTGGAGGTTGTGGTGTGGATCCTCCCCCTCCTTCCGTCCCCTGCTAGGTGAAAGCCTAGGTCCCCTGCTTCGGGCGGCGACGGCACGTCCATGTCGTGTTCCTTCTTGAAGGCACCGTCCGGGGATTGCAGGAGCGGCGAGAGAGTTTGGTTGTGGGTGTGATGATGGCGGGAGACAGCTTGGTTTCTTCATAGGTTGCTGGCTGGAGGGTCCCTGACGAGGTCGCCGGTGGGTCGATGCCCGCGAGCCTGGGCAAGAGGGGATCGGGTTCCCCTCTTCGGCGACAACGATATACCTTTTGGTGGGAGCACTGTGCTCCGGCGAATCCAGCGTTGGCCTTTGATCTACTTACGCTGCTTCCCTTGTTTCTGTGACTGTGGCCGGCAGCTCTCGCCCTTTGGTGTGGCTGAGCCGCAGACGAAGATGGTGCTTGTTTGTAGTGTGCCCTGGGCTGGCGGTCCTGCTCTAGTCTCTTCTCCTTGCAGTTTGGAGGCCATCCATTTGGGTTCTGGGGTGAACCGAGCCGCCGTCTGCCAGTACGGCATCCTTCGAGCCAGGATGAAGGGGTAGGGGCCCTTTGCAGAGGCAGCAACAGATGGTGGTCTGGTCCATGGCTGGCTTCGAGGGTGGCTGTGATCTCGAAGCTTGCGCGGTGGTGCTTTCCTCCCAAGACCCTAGTTTTGTTCTGTTGGTGTAGGTCGTCCAGTAGGGTGTTGGTAGCAGCGTGGTGATGCCTTGGCTCACTCTGTTACTGCCTTGAGTTGTTTTGCTTGAGTTCCTTGTATCCGTCGCTCGGTTTCCTTTTATTTGCGTTGTAAGCGGTTGTCTTTGTAATCCTAGCTGGTTGATGGCTTTGTTAATTCAAATCCGGACTCTTCTTGAGCCTTCGTTTCAAAATACATATAACTGAAATATATCTCTAACAAGCCACCCCTGACGTAGATGGCACGTCGATCGGGATGCAATTCTATTGGCTCTTTCAGGAGGGATGCTAAGTTGACTTGAGCCGAGTCTTTTGTCACGGAGTACGTCTCTTTCCACCACCAACAAGCTGACCCGGCCCGCTTACTGCTATCACTGGAGCAGTTTTTCTTGGCTTAGCAAATACCACAGCGACCCCTCAAAAAAAGAAAGTGCACTTGTAACCAGCTCCTCCAATGCCACTGGTACATTCACCAATGTACTACCAACTGAAAGTTCCCAGCTAGTACAGGATGATGCGCATCTGGCTGTCGACTAGGAAGTTCTCAACAAAAAGATTTGGAGACGTGGTTTTTGCGAGGATTTGTATATTGTGGAATGTGGAAGACTTGGTGCAGGATCTGCCCAATTTATTTGCTGGAGGTTGCAACCAAGTCTGCCGTGTGACTCCTTCCCTCCCGTCCCGATGCACTCTCCATGTATATACATACGTATGTATTCACGCGAGCTGTTAGCTCTTCTTTTCCTTCTTCAGACAACTATACTGACGCACTCTCCAAGGCTATCCGGCCGCACTGCTCTCCGTGTCCTGCGAGAGGCAGGTCCATGAGTAGAAGTGATCAGTCCTCCAAGACGCTTCTTCTATTCGAGGAGGACTGAACCCCCTTCAACTCGTCATCTCCTCTCAGGTCTGTTTTATCAACTCCTTTTTTTTCCTACTTGAAGGTTAATTGGATGCTACAAAAGCGAGAGGAATCCATAGTTGTTCCTGAATCCGCCAATACGCAATATAACTATGAAAAAAAACTTATGCGTGCTTGTTTTGTGACTTGTGATCCGTAAGTATGTAGCTCAAGGCAGAGTTAAGTTGTTCACAGATGATGTTGTATCATTAGATACTCGGCACAATTACAAAAAATATATTTCATTCTTTCCAAAATATATGGTGTATTAGTTTTTAAAAAGTCAAACTTGTGCATGTTTTACCAAGTTTTTGTCAATATCTACAATGCCAACTTTGTATGATTACATTCATCATGAAAATTATTTTCATATTCTATTTATTTTCTACTGTAGATGTTGATACTTTATTCTATAATCAGGGTCAAACGTACATATATTTGATTTTTCATGAAAACTGGTGTCCCTTATATTTTGGAACGGATGATGTATATTTTTTTGCGACCAATAATAAGGATCACCTTGAGCAATGGCCAATTGATGTTTTAAAGAATATCATGATAAAATAAAATAAGGAGATGTAAGATTTTCTAGATTATGATACGTTAAGGTAGTAATTTGTAGTCATTTTTTCTAAGAATAATCATTGTGTTGAGTATGTGACCATATATGCCAGAGTGCCAAACAATTAATATATAGAAATTCGATGGCGCCTGTATCACATTAATATTATATTTGTAAGGATTTTATCACGTCAAAGTGGAACTATTAATGAAAAGATGTAACTCGTCCCTGTTTCAGCCTCCGCCGGCTCCCCTCACCATCAATTGTCAGTCGATCATAACCACATATCAACCTCTAGCATGTAGTTTACGTAATTACGTTTGTTATGTTTGCGTGTTTTCGTGGGAAGGATCAATGATGGCGACCTCACTTAAGACATGAAGAAATGTCAAAGTTGCAGAGGACAAATCTTCAGTTTAGTATTAAGTTATTTAAATTTATTATAATTTTTAATGATTCAACAAGGCCAAATCATCATTCTAAACATAAAAAAGATATATGTGCAGACTTAAGAGATAGCCTTAGGAAATACTCCCACTGTAAACTAATATAAGACATTTTAGATCACTATGAGGGAGTAGCTTTTAAAATAATAAAGGCATGTGTTTTAAGAAACTCGGCTCAAGCAAATGCAAAATTTCCTTTGGATACTATGTGGATGTATGCCTAAATATTATACTCGATTAAGTCTTTTTTGTGAAGTGAAGGTGTCGATTTACTAGGCTGTGTCATGTTTACTGGTTCTCCAGCCGGAGAAAATGCAGGCGTTGTTGCAGCTTGGCCTCAGCCTTGTACTGCTCGCACCACAATATGCCACTACAGCCGCGGTACCTAGCTCTCAGTGCCAGAAGCAGTGCGGCAACGTTGACATACCGTACCCATTCGGCATCGGCGAGAAGTGCTCACTCTCCCGAGGCTTCACCATCAAATGCACGGTCAAAGATGGCATCCACAAGCCATTCTCGGGCGACTTTGAGGTCCTCGATATTTCCTTGACGCATGCCACGATCCGGGTGCTGAACTACATCTTGGGGTCCTGCTACAACACCTCTACCAGCAGCATGGTGTATCCGGGCCTTTATGGTTGGGGCATCGAGTCTTCACCTGCCTCTCCCCTCCGGCTTTCCAACGTCCAGAACAAGTTCACTGTCATTGGGTGCAACGCCCTCGCCTACATATCCGACTACAATGGCACAGGCTACCAGGCCATGGGTGTTGCAACATGCCGTGACCCGTCAGACTTGGTCGACGGTTCTTGCTCTGGGATGGGCTGCTCTCAGACCACGATACCAAACAGGATTTATGACTACAGTGTAAGGTTCTCGAGACTTGCCAACACAAGTCGGATCTGGAGATTCAACCGCTGCAGCTATGCGGTGTTGATGGAGGCAGCTGCGTTCAAGTTCGACGTCTCATACATAAACACCACAAAGTTCAACGACACAAATGCTGGGCGGGCGCCTATGGTGTATGACTGGGCAATAAGGGATGTTGTGCGATGTGATGTCGCCCGACGGAACGAGACGGGCACATATGCATGTCTTAGCAGCAACAGCAAATGCGTCGATTCAACCAATGATCAAGGGTATATGTGCAATTGCACACATGGGTATGAAGGCAACCCTTATCTTCAAGACGGATGCAAAGGTTAATTGGACTGTCAATGTGCATATGCACTTATGCAAATCAAATTGCACCCTGGATGTAGAGGGTCCCCTTTATTTGAAGCTCTAATTTATGTTGGGTTTTGCTGCAGATGTTAACGAATGCAACCACAACCCATGCCCTTCCGATGGCTTCTGCCGCAATATCATTGGAGAACACCGGTGTTCTTGCCGAGTAGGAAAAAAATATGTCAAGGAAAGCAATACATGCAACCCTGACACCGGCTTTATAATAGGTAACTAACAAACAAAGCGAATGGGATTACCTGACACAAATCATTACTTTATCACATTCTCGTGCAATGCCAAGAAATAAAATAATAATGTAAAACAAAATAACAAACATTTTCATCCAATGTTGTCCAATGTATGACCAGCCATGTTTCTCTTTGTCTCCCCCTCTCTCTTTCTCTCTCTATATCTATCTATCTAAAAATAATGGTGTCATACAATGTTGTTATGCAGGAGTTACAATGGGATTATTTGGTCTAATGGTTATCATTGTGATTACTATCTTCTGGGGACAAATGATAATTCAAAAGAGAAAACTGAACAAAGTTAAGCAAGAGTATTTTCGTCAACATGGAGGCTTGCTTTTGTTTGATAGGATGAAATCCGATAAAGGTCTTGCTTTCACCGTATATTCACAAGCTGAACTAATTCAAGCCACTGGCAACTTCGACAATGGTAGAATACTTGGAAAAGGGGGCCATGGAACGGTCTATAAAGGGATAATAAAGAACATGCCAATTGCAGTTAAAAGATGTGCATTAGTCGACGACAGGCAGAAGAAGGAATTTGGCCAGGAGATGCTCATTTTGTCCCAAATCAACCACAAAAACATTGTCAAACTCTTGGGTTGTTGCCTCGAGGTGGAAGTTCCAATTCTAGTGTATGAGTATGTACCACATGGTACACTATTCGAGCTAATCCATGGCAAGAACCATGCATTGCAAATATCCTTCAACACTCTCTTAAGGATTGCTCATGAAGCAGCTGAAGGACTTTGCTTCCTGCATTCGTACGCGTCTCCTCCAATAATTCACGGTGATGTGAAAACTTCCAACATCCTACTTGATGACAACTACATGGCCAAAGTCTCGGACTTTGGAGCCTCCATACTAGCACCGTCTGACAAAGAGCAGTTTGTCACAATGGTTCAAGGTACTTGTGGATACCTTGATCCTGAATACATGCAAACATGCCAGTTAACAGAGAAAAGTGATGTGTATAGCTTTGGAGTTATCCTTCTAGAGATCCTCACCGGTCAGTTGCCGCTAAAGCTCGAAGGATCTGAGACACAAAGGAGTTTGTCATCAATTTTTTTGTCTGCTATGAAAGAAAACAATCTTGATGCAGTGTTAGTGAGCCATGTGAAAGGCGAGGAGAGCATGGAGTTACTGAGAGGACTTGCAGACCTTGCTAAAAAATGCCTAGATATGTGCGGTGACAATAGGCCCCTTATGAAAGATGTTGCTGATGAGCTCAATAGATTGAGGAAGCTTTCAGTGCATCCTTGGGTACGGATTGACTTGGAGATGGATGCCGAAAGCCTTCTTGGTGGAGAATCTACTAGCGGTTATGAAATCGAATTAAATGGGTATCCTATGGGTGAAAGTGAGAACCAACCCATAAACCCACGAAGTTCCTATTATGCAAGGTGATTAGATCATGCATAATAATCTACTAGAGCAACTACTTGTATATAAAAATGTTGCTTCTAAGCCTTGTTATCATTTGTATTGTATTGTGAGGTTAGCACTATTGCTATTTGATCCAGCTGTGTGTACCTTTGGTAAAACAGAATCCTTGCAACTTGTAAATTACAAATCATGTTTGTAATTCATTGGATATGTGTTTGCTATTGAAAAAACATATTTATCATAGACCTATCAAATTTCTGTTTTGTGTGTACGCTACATCCATACTTTGCACATGATAAACTACCTCCAAGACTGATCATATTCTAGTTTTACCCTTATGCTTCCGCACACATGTCGGTTTCTTCGAACCGTGCAGGAGAGCTCCATGCATATTTATAGATAGAAAGACAACATCCAAACAACAACAATACAAGGCGACTGTCCAAATCCAAACACGAACACAAAAATAAAAGAAAAGGAAGAGAAATGGATAGTACTGAGACTAAGGGAGGGTGCTACAACCGTACTCTAGACTAATCTGGATTGTAGGGGATTCGAAATATATATCGACTCACCACGACCCAGAAGCGAAGCGAGCTTCTATTTTAATTTGGTCTATGACACGTTGGATGGGCGTGTGAATCCCATCAAACACCCTCCTGTTCCTCTCTCCCCAGATGGACCAAACGACCAAGATAACCACCAAAGAGTTGAGAGCTCTTTTCTTATCTCCTCGCAGCCTCGATCTTGATTTATCCACCACTCTTCCAGGCTAAGATTCGTAGAGGGAAATGCCTCCTGGAAGTTAGCCCAGATCAGCATACAGCTCCAGATTTATTTTTTTCGAAGGGTTTAAATAGGGAGAGATTTTTACTTCCCGGCCTGTGCACCAACTAAGGTTGCATACAGCTCCAGATGGTTCACGACCGCACAACACATCCGACCAGCATACAGCTCCAGATGGTTCACGACCGCACAGCACAACCGACGAACAGGTGCTGCACATTTTCCTGTCCAGATGAGCAGAAGCTACAAAATTGGCTATGAGGGAAATGCCTCCTGGAAGTTAGCCCAGATCAGCATACGCACAGTACTCTTTTAATGAGCCGGTCATCCGCCTAGATTCTACCTCGTGTGGCCAGCCATATGAAAAATTTGCATCTAAGAGGGGCCCAAGATTTCCAAATACTGTCAGCGGTTCTCCAAGTCGGGGCTGCAGCAAAGAACGGCCCATAAGCCGACTTAACGGTGACCTGGCCGTTGGACTCCCATTGCCAAGTCCAAGTGTCACAACAGTTCGGATCCCGCTGCATGCACGCCCAAAATAGCATCTCAAAGGTGCAGTGCTTGAACGAAAACCCTCATGGTAATTGGCTTCCTGATGTCAAGAATCCACTGTCCCTTGACCATTGCATCTGCCACCAGACGTCTTGCTCTAATTATTGGGAGTACAAGAGTAAAAATATTTGGAGCAATGTCCTCAACCGAGAGACCGTTAATCCATCTGCCTCTCCAAAAAAAGCTCTTCTTCCCATCTCCGACAATGACCTTGGTCGCAGCATTAAACAAGTTAGTGTCTCTCTGGTCACTTACTGGTGCCACAAGCGTACTCCAGTTCTTGGTGCTCGAGGAACGAACAAG